CCGATCACGCAGTGATCAGGGCCGCGAAGAATTACACGAATTTTCCAGCAAATACGTATAATTTTTATTTTCCCCAAGTGGAAGGAATTTCAAATCCTCTGACACTCTAAGGGGTACTCTACTGTCTTGACATAGTCTAGGCTAAGAATTGCAATCAGAACGGGGATTTTTAAGATTTGGGGATATTACACGCGTACATACAGTACACGTAATAGGATAGTACTCGTACAGTCCACGTTATTCATGGAAATACAAAATTTTATAAATTTTCGAGCAAAAAGTATTATATCGAAAAATACTAACCCAGGACGCGGTCAAAATAGCCTCGTCACGCGTTAGTTGGACGAATCTTGTTACACCTGATTTTAATTTCATAGAAAAAATGAAATACAGAGTTGGAATGGGGATTTGGAGAAAACTCGCGCAGAATCCATGGAAGCCTAGCAGAGCTGGTCTCTCGCCGCTTATATAACATTCACTCCAGGACGTTAGTCCGCGCCGGCCGGCGCGGTATATAGCGTTCTCTCTATTCTCGTTCGTAGCACGAAACTCGACAAACTCGACGAGTCCACGAAGGAGAGGCCCGGTGCAGTGTCGGTGCAGTGTCGGGTCCGAGCGTGCAGCAGCTTCCCACGCTTGGCTCGCGCGCGCACCGGTGCAGCAGACAGAGAGGGCCTCTCTTTCAGCTCCGGCCCCGTCTCTGCGCCTCTCTATATATACACCTCTCTCTCTCCTTTTCTCTTTTCCCCCCTTGTTATATCCGTATCTGCTGTCTATCCGTCTGTGTACCCTCGCCTGTGTCTGTGCGCGCGCGCGCGCGCGTATAGTCTCCCACCCGGGTCGGTTCGTTCGTCTCTGCATCCAGCATCCTCCTCGTCGCTCGTTCTCTCGCGTACCTGAGCTCTCTCGGGCTCTCAGGATTAATCTGTATGTACCTGTACGTGTGTGCCTCCCCGTGTCTACTTTCCGCGTGCACTGTAACGTTCGTGTGCCCATCGACCGGCCAAACTCTTCCATCGTGTGTGGCTCTTTCAGTCTCCCTCCAACGGCGGATGGAGGCTCGTCTCTGCACAGGTGTGTGGGTGTACGCGAGGATGAGACTCCAACGGGACGACTCCGATCGCCACGTCGCTGTCTTTCCGATGCCTCTAGTTTACGACGAGCAGGTTACGCGGTGCAGCTGGTGCAAGGACCTTCTCCAAACGCGTCTCTGTCCTATCGTTGGTCTCACTCTGGGTCCACCTTTCAGTCTGACTTCGACCAGTCTCTAATTTTTACCCTTCTTCAATTTCGACTTTAGGTTAGTCTTTGGGGGTCTGTTTTCTCATCAGTTTGAGCTTAGCGCGTTAGCTTCGATGAGATTTTTAGTCATTTTTCTAGATTTGTAGGTTAGTTTTTGAGATTGGTTGATTTCGATGAGACTTTTAGCCTTTCTGTACCTTTTCCCAGGTGATTTTCGTCTCGTTAGATTCGATAGGCTAGGTTTAAGCGAGTGGATGAAGTGTCAGGAGAGGATGGATTTGAATGGAGCCCCGTTTCGCAAGGTTCGCGCGAGCGCGGGAGGCTACGCGCCTTTTCTCCCGACGATGGCATCCGAGATCTCGATCTCATTTTGCTTCCTTTGCCAGCGTGCCAAGTCATCGCATTCCCGTCCCGCGGCCAACATTCGAGGGAACTCGTTGTCGCCGTCAGGGGAATGGCATTCACGAATTTCGCCACGATCCGGGGACTCTAAGCGTTCTCATAAACGATCGCCTAAATGGTCCCCAGGCCTCGTTAGTTAGGACTTACACACGCGTGATCTTGCGTCGTATTTTAGCCCCGCTTCCTCGTAATTCCGGGCCCAGATAAGTCTCGATCCCGAGATCAATTAGCTACCCACGATGTGCACGTAGGTGCGAGGATCGTTTTAATCCGCGTTGCAACTGGACATCTTTGTCAGTCTTTTAATAGCGTCCTCCTCCTGCCGCGCGATGATTCACGAGGGAGCAAGAAGCAGAGCCGATGCAGAGTCTCCGGTATGTTCCCATGGTCGTCGGTCAGCCGTTGGACATTTGCAATCTCTGATCGTAAAGTTCAAGCCAAGGTAGCTTCTATTCTAAGATCTCCTAAATCCATGAATCTTTCTCAAGGATTCCCGCGATGCACACTCGCGAATCTTTTGTTCCCCGAGCGGCTCGACAGCTTTGTCCTTATCCCTTCTAACTCGACACGGTCTACTCAGGCTGTGAAGCAATCGGAGATGGAGTCTTCGTCGGTCACAGCGCACTCGCAATCTTCGATCGTGTAATCGAAGTAACCTCCACTCGAAGATCCTCCGAGTCGAAGTTTCCACGGAGATCCATGAATCTCGCGAATGATTCCACCGATGCGTACCTTGGAATCTGCGTGATCTCCGGACGCGGCCAGACATCTTTATCGATTTTCCAGCGATAGTTCCTCGACACTCGTCCACTCGTGACGATCGACGAGAGAAGAGGCCAAGTCGACTTAGGGTCCCCGGGTGTGTTCCCGTGGTCGTCGTCGATCGGTCGTTGCACTCGTCGTGGAGCACCGGCGCTCGACAAAGTTTCTCCGCGCATTGATTACTAATAGACTACTTACTCTTCATTTCGTGACATTCCCGAGCATTCGCGGAATCGGCAGTTCGTGCGCAGAGTTTCGCGAAGGAAAGCGCAGTCTCTCGTGTGGTGCCTGCCTCCTCTGTGGATGGCAAAAACCGCCGACGACCACACGGGGGCCACGAGCAGCGATCGCAGGCCGATCTTTTCTCACGTGCGCGGCCAAGCTCACGCCCACGCCACCGTTTCCAGGATTTTCGCCGCCTTCCTGTTCCTCCTGCGCCGCCTCGACGCGATGAGAATGGCCCATTGTTGCGATTTACTGCGAGACCTGGCCCCGTGGACGCGTGCGAGGTCCGATGACGAGGAAAGGAGATCGGACGATTAGTCGCCACGTAATAGGCGTTGCCTCTCCTGGGTATATTCCCGCGATCTCTCTTTCTCTTTCCATTTGCATCAACAGTACCCGAAGTACCATTCGCGAGTGGCAGAAGAAACCCGGGTGAAAAATCCATCTCAAAGGCGATGGATCCTCTGTAACTCGGTTCTTCTCGGTACTCGGCACCTTTTCGATACGGGTAGTATTTGCCTTGCTCGCATCCCGATGATAATCTCCGAAATTCGGTAATTGCCAAGACCAGATGCACAGTCGTTGCACAATGTAAGAGAGGAAGCGGACGATTACGGTAGTCGAAGAGCGGGTATTTTGAAATTGAACTTGTCTCGCGAACGGGTTTCGTGAGAACGGGATTGGATCGACGAGGGGAAAAATGGAAGTGGTCTCGTCGGTTTCTAGAAATGGCGAGAGTACACGCGTGCGTCGCGTTCTAGCGGCTGTGTACTCGGCGCGCGTTTGCTCAGCTGACCCGGTGTGCCGCATTTTTAAAAAAAAAAAAAAGATATCCGTGGTCAGAAAAATATGTCGACCCCCGGGCGATTACCTTTCCGACCTTACCACCCGTGAACCGTTCCCCACTGAAAGACGACCTTTCGGGATTCATCGAGAAGCTCCGAAACTCGCAGGCGAGTTTGGCCATTGCCCAAATGCGCGATCGGTGTCTGAAATCGGAAGTCGGAAGGTAACTTGGAACGAAACTCGGAGCATGGATGCGAGGAAATGGAGATAGAGACGGTTAATCGGTGGATGGGGAGAAGGGCGGGAGAAGAAAGGCCGGGACACAAAAAGCAGGCCCAGAGCCATGGTAGAACACTTTGTACATAGCCGATGATCCTGCAAAGGGGTTAACGAGGCCAGGGGTAGCGAAGGTAGGGTGGCTAGCAGCCAGGCGCATTTTCGGGGGTGCCTGGACGTATTACAGGGGTTGTTGCAGAGGCAGCTGCAACACGGGCAGGCGAGTCGAGCCGAAAGAGGCCGAGTGGGCCCCTGACAGCTGCACAGAGGTCGGTGCTTTAACCAACAGCTGCACCGGCCTCACGTTCACAGTCCACTTCCATTTCAACCCCTCCCCTACCCATGGTCCCCGTCACTCTTGCATTTTTCCACCGTCTCTTCCTCCACCTCTTCATCTCTCTCTCCCTCTCCCGGTTCTTTACCAGCCTGGCTACCTGTGACACGGATTCTTGGATTTTTCTGGCCACACGGTAGCCCTCTGCTGCTGCTGCAGCGTGTTGCACGGAGCAACGGCCCGAGGTTGATGCGTCAGGTAGCCAAGGGAGAGAGGTAGGTTAGGGGAAACGTTCGATTGAAACTCATTGTCGCCGTTCCACGAAAGGTCAGGCACGAAACGACGCCGGTTACCAGTCGGCGGGTAAAGAAAAATCGATACGTACGTTGGTCACGAGCCGTGAAATTCACTGGGGGAGCGAAAATATGGCCGACGACGTCCTCGGGCCCCGTGGACGTTTAAAGGGAACCACACCGAAACGTTTCGACGTGTCTTCCCGTCGATCCACAGAGGAAGAGAGAGACGGTCGTTGTAAAAGTTTCCATGAGAAGGGTCGGTTGCGTGCCGCAGGTTGCGGTTTCCTCCATCCTCGCGGCTGTTCGATCAGCTGAGGCCCACCGGTCTATTGTCGATGTCTCGTGAAATGGTACCTGCGAATCTGGGACAGTCGAAGTGTAGATCATCACCTGGCCTCCCTCGTTCTGCTTCCTGCTCGAAAATATCGGCCATAGACGTGTTCTCTGGAAATGCGTTCTTTCAGCTCATCTTAGACTCTGAGGTATACCTGTACGCCTGGATCTCCTCGATCCAAGCCTGATTCCGAAATAGACGTCTTTTCACGCCAGGCTAACCTTGCTCAGAGCAGTAAAAACAATCATCTGTCACTGACTTCGACAACTTCGTTGCTGACGGTCTTAGGAGGCTTCCACGAATAGTCTACCTTCCCAGGAATAATAAAAATAACCATCTCAAACTTCTGTAACACATCAAAATTCGTTCCCTTTCGTCATCGTAGACGTTGTGTTTATCCATTAGCCTGAGGTCTTTCTCGATTTAATTATGACAACTGCCAAGTGAAAATAATCGCTGCTTATTACCAAAGGAGCTCCCATTCCCTTCGATCAGCTGACAATGGTACTTCCCCGGAGATTACCACACAGCAACGCCACAACACCGTCGATCCAAGTTTAAACTTGGCGTCAGACGTTGCCGTAATCCCGGTGTTTAATTCAGGAACATCGGTTTCCACCGAAGCCGATGCTCTCTCCCACCTCTCTCGCCCTCTCTCCCCGACCTCTCTTTGCCATTCTTCTTTTTCCAAGGGCCGTGGAATCCGCGCGATTCGCCCGTTCCTTTAGGCCGTCCCGCGGGATCGACCAGCCGAACTCGAGACTCGTTCCTCACGGTTCTCCACTCTATAAATACCATACGCTCCTTAGCGCGTCGAGACTGGCGAGCACCATCGAGAGCCGCCTTCGTGGGCCGTTGCGCTCGGTGCCAAGGTCACGCGGCCCATCGGCCCTCTCCTGCCCTCTCCTGGCCCCCACACGCTCATCCACAGGGTTCACCTTCTCTATCCGGTCGCGCAGACGAACCACCTTCAACCCCTTCATTCAGCCAGGCACCTGAGTTGACCGAGTTCCTTCCCGATCTACTCTTTCCTGTGAAAAGGCTCAGAAGAGGGACAATCGGTTCATCCGCAAGGACTCTTCCATTGAAGGATATCGATGGCAATAACGCCAGGCTTCCCCCTTTTCTTTCAACTTGTCTATGGAGCAAACCCGAGACAGCAAACGATCGAATTTTTATACCAATTTTGTCCGGGTGCAACTTGGAAGAGTGCTAGAAGCGTTGGAGGTATTCGATTCTAGCATTCGTAGGTACCGTCGACCTCGAACTTTCGCGAGGACAACCGCGACACGGTTTTAGCTGCGTTCTCGGTATCGGGGACGCAGGGTCGTTGCGAAATACGAGGGTCGTGGTGAGAGATGTCGGAATACGAGAGGTTGTCGAAACTGTAGGGAAGAGTCGATGGTAGGCACGTCGGATGGGCCAGAGATGTCGCGGCATGGTAACGCAGACGCGATTCGCGGTCTATATACCCGAGGAACGTACGTAACTGAACCGGTGGCTGGCAGCCAACTGAAAGACTTTGGATATATTTGCGGACTGGACAAGCTGCTCGACACGTGACACAATTTCGTTACCCTTGTGCTGGCGTGCGCTGCGATGTCGTCGATCTTCCGACGAGTATCTGCTCTTTCCTGTTCTAATTCGCTCGTACGCGAAGGTATCCGGATAATATGCTACATTAAAACGAAATATTTCAGACGATACGGTAAATTCGGCAAGGTTACATTAGTAAAATTGGGAAATAATTCAACGACGCGTGCGATAGCTACGTTTATCGGAGTTATGGGCCGTGGTGGCGCTAGTGAGTTACGTGGAAAATCGTCCGAAGATCGTTTCACGAGCGACCAAAGATGAATCAAGGTCTAATCTTCTAATTAATGATACTTTTTGCTCATTTTATGCGTTTCTTACGTAGTTACGTGGAAAATCGTCCGAAGATCGTTTCACGAGCGACCAAAGATGAATCAAGGTCTAATCATTCTAATTAATGATACTTTTTGCTCATTTTATGCGTTTCTTACACTACATTCTCGTGATTCACCGATACCATGCGTTTGAACATATCTTCGAATTATTTTCTAATTTTACTCGTGTAATTTCAAGAGTTCCTTCTTGCTGTTTACATCATTACCGTTTCACGCATAAATACCCGAATGCTTTCGTGTGGTGGAGTGGTGGTTTTGGCGGAATCGACGAAATTGAGCAATTAGCAGGGCGTTAGAGCCTCGTTCGCGACGGTAGGATAAGAATCTTCACACGTGACACAATTTTATCATCCTTGTGGGACGCGACCGCGTGAGCGCGCGCGCGCGCTAGCGAGCACCCGGCGACGTATCGTTCACTACTACGTGCAGCTATGCAAGGAATCGTGCGGTCAGACTCCTTTCCCATCCAGGATTCCCGGAAAACGGGAACGATTCGTGGTACATATGACATAAATTTTAATTAGACGATTCCGTCCATCGGGTATTCGAGGTGTGAACGATCTCGACTCCGTGTCTATAAATTGGCCCCTTTTGGCTCAGTGGACGAGCACGAAACATCGAGACACCGGCGTGCTGTTTAATTGGAACTGTCAGGTACCATACTCGGCGATAGATATACACCTCAGCGCGATGATTTATTAGGGATCGTCCTAGCGCAACCGTGGTAATAATTTTTCGTCCGATTATCCTCTTCTGCATCCTCCAAATTTCCACCCACGGCGAAATCTCGTTTGCTCGCGAAACTATGTCCATCTCCGAAGCAAACTCGGAGCCTTTCCCGGATCTAGCGTTCCTCTCCAGCGGCGTCTGATCGATTTTCCAACCGAGCCTGGAACAATTTAACGATTCGATTAACGACGACACAGAGGACCCCGGTGTACAGAGAGAGTAGCGCGTTGAATTATCGAGTTCTCCCGGTACCCGACTACCTATAGCAGTGGAATGCATCGGGATGCATCGTATGGTACCGCTCGTGCAGTCGTGAGGGACGCGATCGACCTCTTGCGGAGAGTTGCCTTAACCTTTTGGATTTTTTCTTACTCGTTTCAGCCCGCTGCCTGCCCGGATGCGACGCGCAGCACGGACACTGCAATCAACCCGACGAATGCAAGTGAGTATACGCACACAAGCCACCATTTTTCTTTCTCTGTCTCTTTTCCCCGTGATAATGTATACGCGTAGCCTCGCTCTTCCTCCACCTCTTCGTCGGCCTTCTTCTTCTCCTCCGCCTGCCCTTTCTTTTTCTCCTCTTCTTCTTCTTTTCCTTTACTGATATTACATTCCTGCCTCGATACCTGTACGCGTTGTATCATACTCGTGCCGCATTAATAACGACGCCTCGATAAACGAGCTTCCCGCGAAAGTTGATCGTTAATGAGTCTAACGCGATCGATGATCCAAGCGTTAATTGCTTCACCGTGAGAATCTTCCAACTTCGAAACGCAGTTCTGAAACGCCGCCTCTGCGTATGCATAATTAAATGGATAATTTACCTGGACCCCCGTTAATCCGCCATTACGATTCACCTTTGTCGAACAGAAAATTATTGCTCCGGGATATTATTCCTACGAACAGAATCGCGGCTAATGGCGTCTTCCACGGTCCCTCCTTGGGGATTTTCCAACTTCGGAATACAAATTCGAGGGGCTCTTCCCAAAGAAATAATCGATGATCTCGTGGCGTGCCATTCGAAGTTGAAAATAAAAACTTGTTATCTAAATCAGAATTACCTCGTTGGATTGTTACTGTCATTCATAATCGTAAACGACCCATTCGCAGAGCAGAAGGTTATTAACTCGGATTTTGGACTTTTTCCAAATTTCATTGCCAAAGCAAACGGCAGTTCAACTTTCTTCTACGCTTAAAATAAATTCCCACTTGTGTGTGCTTAATCGATTCGGTAAAGGAAAGGCTCGCGTAATGGCGTGTTCCGGCGTACGTGCACGCATGGAAATGAAATTCAAGCGTGGGTCAGTATCCCGATTCGTCATAAATTATCCGGAAAAATGTTCAGCTTATCCAATCGGGTACAGTCATTAGCATAGCTACCAGTTTCCGCGATCGGGTCGCGCCGTTCGATTTTCCCTTGGCGGTGCTCGAGGATCGCGCGCGATTAGAATATCATTGGTGGAACCCGTTTCCGGGTGTTGCGATTCTCCCTCGTTCCTGTTTCACCGCTGATTTCATAGTCGGAGGCGCGTCGTGCACGATGATCGTCGGGGGTCGAAGAGGACGTAGAGGAATTCGAAGCGGTCGCTATAGCGATCGCTCTCTCGCCCTTGCGATCGGCTTAGAGATCTCGTCTCGCGGCTCCTTCGTCCACTTCCACCCTTTCCTCTCCTTCAAACTCGCGCCGGTTGTGTCGTTGAACCTTCTAATTCGATTCGACGAGCCGAAAAACGAGTGCCTCGACCGGGGGCCAGAGATCGATCCGGGAATTTCTGTATTTGCTGGCAATCCTGCCTCTATAAATACGCTCTGCCTCGAGGAACCATCTATTCTTCTCCGGTGCAGGCGAATTTTTTCTCGGCGGCTCGAGGAATACCTTCGTGCATCGAGTTTTAAATCTTCGCGATTCCTGAAAACAGTTACATTTTTATCGGAAAATTATATCGGAGCGTTTCATTCGGGAAGGAATAGTAATCATACTGAATTTTTCCTTAGTGGACTGCGAAGTATAACGTCGGACCTTGAGAAATTTCGTTCCATCGATCATCTTATCCTGCTGTTCGATCCAAACTCGCGATTTGCTGATAAAAATTGGAATATTAATCGTATCGTGTCTTCCATTTAATCTTCATCGATTTAATGAAAAGGGGAATAATAATTATCGAAAATAGCAGTTATACTGAATTTTTCCTTAGAGAACAGTGAGATATAACGTCGGGCCTTGAGAAATTTGGTTCCATCGATCATTTTATTCTTCTCTTCGATCCAAACTCGCGATTTGCTGATAAAAATAGGAATATTAATCGTATCTTGTCTTCCATTGAATCATCATCGATTTAATGAATAATAATTATCGAAAATAGCAGTCATACCGAATTTTCCCTTAGTGAAGAATGAAGCATAATCGTCGGGCCTTGAGAAATTTGGTTCCATCGATCATCTTATCCTGCTGTTCGATTTAAACTCGTGATTTTCTGATAAAAATAAGAACGTTAGTCGTATCGTGTCTTTCATCGAATCATCATCGATTTAATGAAATAGGGAACAGAAATCATCGAAAATGGCAATCGTAGCAATATTTTCTTAGTAGACTGTTCTTGAGAAATTTGGTTGCATCGATCATCCTGTCCCATTTGCTGATAAGAAAATGTTAATTACATCAAGTTTCCCATCGCATCGTCATCGATCGGAGATCGGCGTACTTTAACGAAAAAGATGGTAGTAATCTCACCGAATTTTTCCAATTTTTCCAATTTTTCCATTTTCCCTCGTGTTATGGCAGAAGATACTTTCGTGTTCCATAGGAAATTTCTTACAGCGGATCACTGTGTGGATCCAGCTGCAGGATCGAAAATCGAGATACTGGAATTCGGGACGAGCGAGGTCGGAGAGATTCCGCGATAATTCCAATCCGTCTCCGCACGGGACTCGAATCTCGGTACGACGTTAACCCGAGGTTTAGAGTTAACTCGATCATCTAATTACTGCACGAGACCGGGGTTAATTGTCCCGTTAGCCGCAGCCGTCAGTGCCAGCCGGGTTCCCTCGAAGTCCATGTTGCTCTCCGACAGGCTAGTCGTCCTCGACTTTCTTTTCCCGGAGAAAGAGAAGGAGAGAGGAGGAGCATAATCCGGCGTGGCCGCGGAAAAATAATATTTTCGAAAATAGACGAGACACTGGTCCAGACTTCACGCGTTGGCGCGGCTTTTAAACGTCCCAGACGACCCGGAATTTATGGGCATACCGTAGACGCGTAAATAAGCAACGCGGAGAGTCGCCTGTAATAAATTATTCGTCGAATATCGCGCAGAACGTGCCGCGGGACACCGACACTTTTAATGCAGCGCCTCTAGCGGGGGAAAAACCTGTTGCGAAACGAGTGAACGGGCTTCGTTTCTCGGTGTTCGCGGATTTTCGCCTCGCGGACGTATTATCTGACGATTAAAAGTCGATTCGAAACGAGTTATTGCCCCAACGCGGCGCAAATACGTCGATAACGTTGGCTCGCGGTGGATCGCGATCGAATTTTCGCAAAATGGACGCGCACGGTTCGACGCGGGACGCCGCGCGAGTGCGCATGCGCGGTAATCGTGGCGCCAAGGAAGCTACAGTACGGTTACAGAAATAACGCGATCGAGCCGCGTCGAGGGAATCTCGAGGATCGATCGAGTTTCGAGGAACGGTTTCGAATAAATAGACACGTATTACGCGGACAAAGGGTAATCTGTTTTCTGGTTGCGTAACCGTATGCGTGGAAATAGCCGATACGATCGCTAAGAGCAAACGCCATCTCGAGCCTCGTGGGATGTTGGCCCCGTTCGTGATACGTGAAAGAATCGCGGCTGTACGACGGTGTCCCATTGAAATTTCGGAGTCCATGGCTGGTCGCGCGCGTCGCCGTATCTGAATACCGATGAAGATGCAACATCGTGAATCATTTTACGATCTTCCTTCCATTCTCTCCGTCTCTCTTTCTCACTCTCTCTCATAAATGCTTGTACACTTCCGCGTGACGCTCGCGGATTCTTCCACCTTTCCTCGCATTTTTCAGTACCGGTACTTGGGAGTACTTAGGATACCCACTATCCTCTTATACTCCTCGATGGAGGTATTCCCGAATACCGGTATTCGCGCGCGCTAATACGCTCGGAGTACCGGCATATTCGGTCGATTCCGAAACCCGCGTATTCGCTCCTCGACACTTCGGCAATTACATCCGATTGCCTAAACGGCTGGTGTAGCAGTGCTCGTAGGTATTCTACTTTCTAGCCTGCTTCTTCGGCCCGTACGCCGCTCCGATTTCGAACACGATCACGGTCTCCCTGTATGGATACCGGCTGAAAGCGAGCCGGGCTTCTTCGTGGCCGTCAGAAATCCGTTTCGCGTGCTAGGAAGAAGGCTGGCTCGCGCGGCTAGAGAGAAGACAGCTCGAAGAATCACACGGATGCTTCGACCGTCTCATTGGCTAGACGCGCGCGCGCTTGCACGAGTGTACGTGTATGAATATAAATATTATATATATAGAAATGTATATACATGTACAGCCGTGTGCGGAGCGGCACAGTTCGGCTCGTTTCGTTCCGTCTTTTACACTCCGAGCGCGGTACTGCTGCTCGTCTTTCCTTTTCCCTTCTTTCTCTTACACGCTGTACCTCTCTCGATTACGCTTCTCGGTGTGTACATGGGATTTAATGGTATAGTCATGCGACGTCGACGGCTACGGGGCTCTCTCCGTGTCTCTCTTTCTCTCTAAGTCCTGATATATAGCGATATATATATATATACATATATATATATATATATATAGACAGAGAGAAAGAGAGAGAGAGAGAGAGGCGGATGGGTATTAGTGGG